CTTAAAACAAATTTGCTAATCAGACATTGCCACATCTTTCCTATTTTCCCCTAGATGCACACACCTCTCATGTGGTTTCATTGCAGATAATTATTTGTGAGATGTAACATTTTTTGTCATTGTTTAGGTTCAGTAGGTAGAAATATGGGGCACTAAATCAATTATTCTGAAATGATGATGTAGCTTTTCCCCACTTCCAACATGGATCTTTAGGTTGGAAGATATGAACATTTTCCACTTTTTACCCTGAAGGTCACCTCCCGAATATAAGGCATCATGCCATGTACTTTGGGTTGTATAGCACTCGCCATTTTTTGCAAGTTTGCTCAGTCTTGGCTGTCACAGTTCTTCCAAGGCAGATGTTATTGTTTCTCTAATTAACAAAGATTCTGTGATTTAGAGAGGTCATCTGGCAGATAAATTTGGTAAGGCCTGCTATGCTAATTGCCCAAGGTTGTGTGAGAGGGTGAAAAGATATTGCACATGTAAAGCTTTGCAAACTCTCAAGGTCAGTGCTCCTCTAAAATGATATCTTCTGCCTTTATATAGCTCACACAATGCCCAGTTCTTAATTGTTTTAAGAAATAAATTTCATCATCTTGTAATCAGACTTGGGAGGAACACAGAGCAGTCCTTAGGTTTGCAGGTTGGACAACACTTCAGTCCTTCATTTGTTCATCCAACTAACAGATATTTCTGTAGCAGTACTCTGTAGAAGCAGTACTGGGTATTTAACCTGCTTAAATCCTGCCCACTTCCCTTAAAAGGAGTTTATACCCTAGTCACAGGGAAAAGCAGTATCTAAAGTTCTAAAAACTAAAATGTATAGTAATAATTTGTAGAAGTCAAAAATGTCAATGGCTTCAGAGAGGCATGAAAGGCATGAAAAATACTGCTTAAGAAGTAGATTGTAGGGCTAGGGTTGTGGCTCAGCAGGAGAGTACTTGCCTAGCATGTGTGAGGCACTGGATTCGATTCACAGCACCATATAAAAAAATAAATAAAGGTATTGTGTCCATCTGTAACTAGCAATATATATATATATTTTTAAAGAAGTAGGTTGTAGCTAGATCACAGGAAACTCAATGACCAAGATAAAGAATTTTTACTTTATTTTTTATGGGCTCTTCAGGAAGGACACTGGGAAGTTTGAGGTGACAACTATGCATAAAATGGGTTAGGAATATTTGATGGCAGGAGGACACTTAGCTTGTGAGAGAATAGCTTTCCCAAGAGACCATGTTGACATGTTTTAGTCAGGTTTCTCACTGCTGTGACCAAATGACTTGACAAGAACAATTTTAAGGAGGAAACAGTTTCAGGAAACAGTTTCAGAGGTCTTAGTCCATGGACCACCGACTCCACTGTTGTGAGCATGAGGTGAGGCAGCGCATCATGGCAGAAGTGTGTAGAAGAGGAAAGCAGCTCAGGAACGTTGCACCAGAAGCAGAGAGAAAGAGAGAGTTTGTCTCATCATGAACAAACTATGAACCCTAAGGCATTCCCCCAATGACTCACCTTCTCCAGACATACCCTACCTGCCTATAGTTTACACCCAATTAATCCTTTCAAGTGGATTAATGCACTGATAATGTTAAGGCTCTCCTAACCCAATCATTTCACCTCTAAACCCTCTTACATTGTCTCTCACATGAACTTTTGGGGGACACCTTACATCCAAATCATAGCAACACATGAACACATGGAAGGAGGGTTCTTCATGTGAGTACCCAACTGAACAAGTCAAAAGGAATTTTAAATATTTTAAACTGGAAAAGCAATTTGGTTGGACAAAAAGAATTAAGCCCTGGGTATAAAAGTGACCTGCAGTGGGTCATTATTGACAATTTGTGTCTCCATCCCTAAAGATCTCTAACAAAAGGCAAATATTCATGACAAACAGCACAGTCACCCTTGGGAACCAGGTGGAGATGAGAGTAGAATGGAGGACTGGATGGTGGTGAAAGGAGATCTTGTCTGAGCTTTGAAAATCAAGATCCAGACCTTAATCTACCAATTTGTGAGGTCTTCTGACAAGTCACCTCACCTCTGTGAGCTCTAGTTGCCCATCCACACTATGACATGAAGGGAGCAATAGCTTTAGCGACCATTCCAACATCAACATTCTGTAATTCAACATTCTGATATTCATCTTCTATAAATTACTTCTTTTCTTCTTTATGAGTCTCTGCTTTAATCCCTTATTCCTACCCAACTTTCCTCCCCCACACTGAAATATTTTAGCATAAGAAAAATCTAAGTCCTACTTATTAATAATTTGCAATGTTCTGGATGAAGCCAAACCAATTTGTATGATTTGATAGAATAGTCATTTATTTCATCCAGCTTATTTTTTAAAAAATATTTATTTCTTAGGTGTATATGAACTCAACACAATGCCTTTATTTTTATGTGGTGCTGAGGATCAAACCCAGGTCCTGCCGGTGCTAGGCAAGCACTCTACCGCCGAGCCACAATCCCAGCCCCAATCATCCAGCTTTTTTTTCTAGAAGACGATAACATGATTTACAGAAATATCTGTTAGGAAAACTGTTGATCCTGATTGTGTTTCACAAAAAATTCCCAAACAGATATGAAATGTTACACCCAGGGTGTTTACCAAGAGTCATTCTTAAACTATCATGTGTTACTTTTCTACATCTTAAGTTAAATGCCCCTCCCTTGCCTCTCTTCACTGAGATTTTTAGTTGGCTAATTTCTTCTAGCGTGCCTAGAAGAAATTAATGGTTAGTAGTCTTGATGAATCCAAACAGCAGAAATTTAGAGTTTATCAGATGATAATATCTGAAAGTGCATACTTCCATTTAGACATGCAGGGAGCTTCACCTGGTGAAAATGACAGTGAAATACATCTATATGGTTAGGTCAATTATTCATGGTCGTTCTGCTCACCTGCTACTTCACATTTAACTTTCACCCTTAGTTTTGAACTTTAAGTGGCAAAATTCCATTGATGTGATCAGGTCAACCTCACATCCATAACAGGAATTATCTTGACAGACAAGAAAGCCTGAAAGACAGAAATCTTTGCTTCAACACGTCTTTTGATTACCCCAATGTCATCTGTTCATTGTTTGACATCTCTAATTCATAGAACATTCTTCCTTACACTGAGTGAACCAAAGTTGGCCTCCATATATCTCCCAGAAGTGGTCCTAACTCTGTTTTTGTAGACAAGTTTATCCCTTTTACATAGAGATCATTCACATTGTTGGAGATAGTTCTTATGTTTCCCGGCCTTCACTACAATTTCCTCTTGATTTGACTATTTCCTTACATTATCATTGCTCTTTAATGGTTAGTAGTCTTGATGAATCCAAACAGCAGAAATTTAGAGTTTATCAGATGATAATCAGATATACAAAGTCATGAAGGGTAATTTTTATACACCTCCATTTTATTTATTTATTTATTTATTTATTTATTTATTTATTTAATGTGGTGCTGAGGATCCAACCCAGGGCCTCACACGTGGTAGGTGAGCACTCTACCACTGAGCCACAACCCCAGCCCTGTGAAGGGTAATTTTTATATCACTTCTGAATAACACTTTATTATTACCATAAGCAGGTGGTTCATTGTTACACACAAGTTTTTAAATGTATTTTTAGCAGCATCTGCCAGATTTACACTAACTGCTTGAGGTTAACTGACATCTTTTTGGAACAAATTAAGTTAATCTGATGTTCAATTTAAATGACCTCTCAAAACAATGTAATCTTTTACCCCAATTTTCAACTTTGTGTTTAATACCATGCCATTTATAAACTTGCAAAAAATGTGATCAACTTAAAAATCTTGTTATTTCTTCAACTGAATAGCTTTATCTTTTTGTAGGAATATATTTGCCCAGAATACCCCTAAAATGTTTTTATTTCATATCATAATAATAACAGAAAGGATATATGGCAAGTCTCACGAGTGCTTATAATTTTCACTAATACAACTAACTCATGAAGTGGAGAAAAATAACCTCTCTTAACTAGCTAATAACTAACATTTATTTCAATATATTGAATGTTAAAAGTCTGAAATCCAATGATGATGTCCATCTCTCAGCAAATACAGGAGAAACAGAAGTGGGCTTTGTTCCGACATTTGGTCCTTGCTATCTGAACCTTTATGGAAGCCCCAGAGAGTACACAGGATTCCCAGACCCCTATGATGAGCTAAATACTGGAAAGGTTAGTCTCTCAATTAAGGAACTTCTTATTAATGAGCACTGGGTTGATGTGATTCCTTCTGATAATGTTGTAATTAATATCCTATTTAGGTAGTATCCCCTGCACACACGTATGCACACAGACCCACCACACAAGTGATCAAGTGTTGAAGGGTTAAGTCTTGCACTCCTCAAGTCTTAGCATGCGAGAATAGGAAAGAATCCTGGAGATCATCTAGTCTAATTTGGTGACAGCAAATGACATTTCTTCCCTTCAACTTTTACACTTACAGAAAACATCAAGGGTCAGTGTTGGCTCTCTTTTCTCATAAGACACCACGCTGCCTTGCAATTCTTTTCAACACCATATTCCAGGAATTTGCTAACAATTGCGGTGACATGCATTGCCTGCTGAAACACTTTGCTATCCCTGACCTGATCCAGCTCTTTCCTTTCATAGATGAGAAGATGGGGCCCCAGAGATGAGAAATGCTCTTTCTATTATAATAGAAGCTGAATGTCATTTCGTTATCTCCCATGGTTCAGGAAAGGGACAAAGCTAGAGAGAAAAAGTCCTAGGAAAGAGAGGTGGGAGACAGCTGTGGAATTGGGGTGCTCTCTCCGTCTCCAGAAGATTCTACTGCCAATGCTGCGGTGTACTGTGAGACGGGTGTCCATTTTTCATCCTCATTCTCCACTACACCCAGAACTTCCTCCTCCTTTACTTCCTGGCTACTGAGACTTGCCCCAGTGTCGAGCATGGCAGCCTCCTTATTCTAAGAAGAGGGAAAAAAGAGCCAAGTTAACACAGATAACTGCAGAGCTATTCTGCTTGAGTAAGATGAGGGAAGCTTATTCTCATTCACCTCCACCTCCCTGCCTCTTGGACCCCCTAACAGGTTCAGAGCAGGGCTTAAAAGCCTCTGTCCTCAGACATGGCTAAGATTGCTTTCGGCCCTAGAACCCCATGGCACTCTTTGGGACCCTTCTTCAAGTAGATGGCTCTTCTTTCAGAATCCAAGACATGATCAAGGGCTTGATTGGTAAAGTGCTTGTCCTGCACGCACAAATCCCTGGGTTCAATCCCCAGCACCACAAAAAATAAAAATAAATAAAAATAAAATACCGGATTGTTTTCTTTTATATGTGGAAGCTAAGGAGAAATAAGGAATTAAAAAACATGAGTAAGAAGCCCCATGAAACTAATAGAAAGGACAACCCTGTAGAAGAGGAAGGGGAATTAGGGGTAGGAAGGAGGGATGGGAATGAGGAGGAAGAGAAGAATGAAATCAGCCAAACTCTGTCATGTGCATGTATGAACATATCACAAGAAATTCCATTTTTATGTATGACTATAATGTACCAATTAAAAATGAATCAATTAAAAAAAAAAAAACCAAAGACCTGAATCTAGCTGCAAGAGTTGCTGACAGATCTATTTTGGAGGTTAGACCCATGAGAAGGAGATTGTAGCAGTATTAGCCTGACCAAAAGACAGAGTTGTGTTTGCTGTTATCCATGTCTGGTAGGATAATCTTGTGTTCTTGCCTTTCAGGGAGAAGGTGTTGCCTACAGAGGCAGGATCTTGGTTGAATTAAGCACTTTCCTTGAAAAGACACCACCAGATAAGAAGCTTGAGCCCATTTCAAATGATGACCTGCTGGTTGTTGAGGTAAATGTTAGAGTATGAATAGTTCACCGAATGGAAAAGGGTATTTTAGAGGATGGGTGGTAAAAGGGCTGATATGGGCCTGCCTGAACAAACATACCTAGAGGGGACCTCCAGGGACTGAAGGGTCAACTGTGGAAGAGCTGGAGAAAGACTTGCCTCATGGCAACTGCTCAACAACCTCTCCGTGTATGTCCAGCAGCCCTATGAGAGTGAGGAGATGTGAATCCTTTGAGATGTGAGTACTCTACTGAAAACAGGCAAAGAGGAGAGAGATACCTCAAACTGAGTGTGCCCTGTTTTCTAACTGAGGCTGCGGAGTCCTGAGGAGGTTGCCATAAGAGCCACCACTAGTCATTTCCATTTTCATGGGCAGCTGGCATATCTCTGAGCCCCCCTTTCTCCTTGAAAACAGGAAGTCTTCCAAATTCACCTTCCTAACTATTTTTGAGAATCCCAGGTCGATGCTCTTGGGTCCCACAAATCTGGATTGTTGGCAAGAACAGCCTGCTCACTGCCACTCCTCTGCTCAGGGCCACTTCTTGCTGCTTCCAAACCACCTGGCCTGCCAGCTTCCTCAGGCTGCTCCTGCCCTCTCTTTACCCTCCATCCAAACACAGGACAGGCCTTGCTCTCATTTTTTATGGAGAAAACAAACAGTAACTTTCCAAAAGCTTTCAGCTCTGGGATAAGAATAGGGAAACACAGTGGAATGGAAACCACAAAGTAGCAGATTTCTGGGTCTCCCAGGCTCTCCTGTCTGCTCCCAGCCTGCCTCAGCTCTCATCCTCTCTGGACTTTGGTAGTGCCCTGAACACATCATTTCAGAGTCCAGTTCCAGCCTCCATGAGTTCCCAACTGAGCAAAGGCTGTTCTCTTCCTTCAAGTTCAGGCTTTTCTGGATGATTGACAGGGAGAATGTTCACTCCCTTGAGAGAAAACTCTCCCTTTTCTCCCTGAACAATGTAACTTTGCTTATTGAAGTCCAAGAAGATAATTATATCGGGTTAGCATCCAAAGCAGTATATTCTTGGATCCTACAGTCAGTCTTCCAGCATGTTTGGAACATCCTTAGTCCAATTTTCGAGCTGCACCAATTTCAGTTCTTTGTTTCCTCCTTTAAGAGGAAGGGATCATGTTCCACATTCTTCCTGAGATTGCTTTTTTCCAACCCTCATTTTGCCTCACCCCAGAAGCAAGCTGCAGGGGATCATCCCAACTTCACACAGGCAAAGAAAGATTTCTCCCCATCGAGTTAGCAAAGATTATAATATAGCTCTGGCTAAAACATACGCTTGAAAATTTGTGTTCCCAAGTTAACGGTTCAATTCAGGTTATTTAAATTGTGAAAGAACAATGGTAGGTGTTTGCTTTCCATTATAGTTAAGGATCAATTCAGTGATTTTTTTTCTAAAAAAAAAAAAATAGCAATGGTCCATCTTGATGTGAATTTATATTTCTGCCTCTAGAATCAGAAATTATTCACAGCTTTTACATGATAGTTTTTCTAGTTTTTTACATTAATGCATCTAGTTTTAAAGTCTTCAGATGGATTTATTTACTGAACCAACCTCATACAAAAGTGAATATAAAGGCCAGGTATTTACAATAGCTCAATGCAGGATAACTCTCAAAAAATTAGTGAGTCCTTCCACATCACCCTACTCCCCATGTCTTCTTACACAAACACATATGCAATTATGCAATTAATACCATAATACTTTTCTCGGATTTAATGTTAAGGGTTTTGATACTTTTGAGTTTTCCCAAAAATCCTTGATGTATAATAAGAAACATTAAGAATTTTGACCACTCCTGATTTGTGCTAATTTGAGAATTTAAATCAGAAGTGAGAGACTGGCATACGAAATGCTAATCGGTACACCTAGCCCACCACCAGGTGTGCACAGTGAGTGGGAGGCTGGTATTCACTGTTCTTGGCACTGGGCCAGCAACTCTAAATTAAGATATAAAAGTCCCCCCTCCTCCAAACTTTCAGTTAATTTGTTATGGTTTCTAGGGAAATATTAGAATATTATGATGCTCTTGAATTTTGAGTATTCCTGTAATCTGGGGAAGATATTCCTTACAAATTGGTATGGTCTGAATATTCGCGTTCATGTGTTGAAACCTAACGCCCATGGAGATGGTATTAGGAGGTGCATAGATCATGAGAACTCTGCCTTCATGAGATTTGAACCCTTTTAAAAGAGGCCCTAGAGAGCTATTTTGCTCCTTCTACCAAGTGAGCACATAGTCAGATGGCCCTTATCAGACACCCAATCTTCTGACACCCAGATCCTGGACTGCCCAGCCTCTAGAACTGTGAGAAATACATATTCATTATTTATAAGTCACCCAGCTTATGATATTTTTGTTTATCAGCCCAAGCAAACTAAGACACAAAAGACCAGTCCACGTAATATAATACCACAAAGGACCAAGAGCAGTTGAAGACCTTGAATGCTGGACTTATCCTGACTTTTTAAGCCAAATTCTGAAGGATAGGTCAGATACCAAGAAGAGCCTCCATAGGGCAGATTCCAGGAGTTTCTGCTGTGAGATCACAAAATACACACCTGTTTCATGTCCTTTTTTATGTGCTAAAGAGACACAGAACCAAAAGCAACAGATCCTCTGGTCACTAAGGTCCTGGTCATCATCTTTTTATCCACTCCACAGTACTATCAACTCTTTAAAGTCTAGGAGTTACACTAGACCTTGAAGACAAATTAAGAAAAAAGAAAAACAGGAGAGGGCAGATGGAAAGATGAGGCAACTTCATGCTGTTTACTGCCAGGATCATGTAGAAAGATGGCTAGAAACCATCTATAGGCCTCCAAGGAAATGCACAGAGACAGCATGTAGTTTTAGACTTGAGTAGTTATGGACTGAAGTTGGCTCTTAAAGATGTTAGCTGGAATTAAAGGTGTGAAGAAATACCATGTCGGATGAACATTCTACCATTATGATGTCTCTCTCTATTTTTTTGCTCCATCACCTGAATATAATTTAAGTCCATGCTTCTTCTCTTTGTTTCAAACAACCATAATGAGAGGAGGGGAAACATGGCAAGGAGAGGGACCAAACAAAGGATAAAATAAAAACCCTTTGTTAACTGAAGTGCAAAATCAAATTAGTTTTCTTTAGTGCAAATAACAGCCACACACACATACACACAGGCAAACACACACTTCATTCATTTAATGAAAATAAAAGCAAAAAAAAAAAAAAAAAAAACCCAAAGAGCCAAAAATATATATTGTCCACAGTATGTGTCAACAATATAAAAGAATAGCTTTTTATTAACTGGCATATAAAAAAGAATTTATTTTTTTAGCTCCAAATTATTAAACACAGACAACAAAATAGCTTTTTATGAATTTAACAACCACAACAACAAAAAATCAGATATAAAAAAAAATGAAACGAAACAGAAATGGAGGAGTCTAACATCACTAAAAGGAAAGGAACTGAGATTCTGAGGACATGTCCACACTTGAAGCAACCAGGAGCCCTAGAGGAGAATGAGACTGGCACATTTGTGCCACTGCCAGGAAGATTAAGTTAATTCAGTCAACCTAGAGTGCATATGTCCCTTGTCCACCTTACAGAGGTGCCACATCCTGGGTCATATGCAAATACAAAAATTTTTGGTGTGGCTCAAAAGGCCACAACAAAAAGGCAACATGATTGCTAGAGGATCAAGAACTCCCCCATCTCCCTAGAGCAGAACTGAGCTTGCTCCAAGTGGGTCTGGGCAGGGGATCTTGCAATGCAGTGGGTATCACAGGGGCCAACCTGGCAGCTTCTACAGAAGGAATCAGGCAGACATGAGATCAAATGTTGCAGACCAATTATTATTCAAGCACCTGCTGGCTTCTGGAACCTCTGCCCTGTCCCAGAAGGACCCTGTTTTTTGGTCTCCATCTTCAGGAATGTGTTCTTGAACCACATCCTCCCTGTTCCTCTTTCCCCAACTCCTGTGTGCCATTTAACATAGCACTTTTTATGGAATCGCATTTTCTCTCCCCCTCAGCTGAAGCCTCCTTGAGATCTCTCCTTGTTCTGGCCCACTTTTAGGGATCCATAAATATCATTTGAAACAACATGTTCAGATTCTTCCACCAGCTCCAACAATGATCAGCCACCTTTAATAAACAGGTCAAAGATGTCAAGTTGGGCAACTTTCTTTGGAGCATATCTTCCTTGTTATTGACCTTTAATGTCTCAAGTCTGTACCCTCAGCCTCTTTCAAAAACGGTTACCTTGTATCAGTAACCCGCTTAGCAAAAAATCACCTCCTTCCCCAAAATGACTTCTGAAATCCTGCCCTATACCACCTTATCTATTGTGTTTGCTTGTCACTGAAGATTAGAAGCCTTACCCAATAAAGAAACATCCATCCATCTGGGTCCAACAGACTATAATTTACATTCTTTAACTTTCCTTTGCAGTAAGCAATTTTGCCCCAAGGCAACTAAGGGAGGGTCCTGAACAAAAGCTGAGGCTCACGGCTTCTCTAAAATGGTGCTTATTGTTTTTTCCTTTCTCCATCTCTTTGTGTTCTTAAGGCAGAGGGGAAGTGGGAAAGGTCTGGAGGCAGGCCCATTTTTCAGCTGCCCTAATGTAAGGCAGTGGGGCCCCGGGGCAGAGGAGCAGATAGCAGGGATACTCTTCCTAGACTCTGGACTTGGCAGAGTGTCTGAGGATGCTCCGTGGATAGCAGTTTGCTCACAGTGTGTTCCTCTATTGGGAGCTGTGATGGCCAGAAGCCCAGACTGTACTTTTCAGAGCTCAGAATCTCCAGAGTGAGGGTCCTATCAGAGCTTCTGTGGGTGGCTGCAAATTGTGCATGAGAGCATCCAAGAAATTCTAATGGAATGGCAGACCCAGCCAGACACAGCATCTCCACCCTCCCGAATATCCCCATGAACTCCGCAGATTCTGGCTTAACAGCTAGCTGTGGCTTAAGTACCAGTTATTTTCTTCTGTGCCCTGACTCAGGCCCCAAA